CTGGGCTAGGTAGGAAATGTACTGGAAACTTCCATGACCAGTGCGAAGTAGCTGCAGGTATTCAGGTAGAAACACTTCCAGCCTCTTGAATATTCCTGTTGGTAAGGTCGTTGCTTGCAGAATGTAAGATATGGATTTTTTTTTCCTCTTGGTCTAAATCTAGCTTCATTAAGTTTGTTGCAGGAGCATGTTGGATTTCCCTTGACTCTCCAAGTCTTGCCTTCTGTTACGGGTTATTGTAACGTGGAGTTCTCCAGGAGGTGCTGGGCAGCTGTATATAGAGAACTGGCCTGATTATTTTACCACTTCTGTCTTCCTCACTTTTGGTCTCTAAAGTAGCCTCCGGCACTAGATAAGGTGTAAATTTACCTTGCTCAAGATTTCTGCAATATTTCCAGAGTTTCAGCCCTGTGAGGGTGTTTTATAGTGCTCTGCTTCCATTGAAAGGAAATCTTAGTTAGTCTGTCACCTGTAGTTTCAGTAATTGCTTACAGGCTGACATGTCATCTTTCAAAGAGATTCACGATCTTTTCATCTGTTACGTCCTCTTTAGCAGGAAGTCAGATGTGGTTTCCCAATCTTAAAATCTCCTGTCTAGCTATTTATGTTGTGTCAACTTCCTTGCCGAACTTCACCCCGGAGCATCCTCCAAAAATGTGGCACAGAGGTTGAGCTTTTTGCTTTTCTGCTCAGAATCCTTCCTTCCACCCATGCTTTCGCAGCAAGGCATGGGAAGAACAGTTGTTGCATGTCAGCAAAGCATATATTTTTTCATTTGTGATGAAAATGGAGTGATGGGTGCCCTACACAGAGTAAGAGGTAAACCTTGTTTCTTGTGTGGGAAGACCTACATTAAGAAATAACATTACGGTGATTTTCCAGGATGCTAGGCAAAATCATGTAGAAACAGATTATTTCTTATTTCTGTTGTACAATCACAGGATCAATCTGTAACCAAATAAAATTCTGTAATCTGATTTGATAAAAGTGGATGGTGACATTCATACTAAAAGCATGAGTCAATACTTAGCTTACTCTCTACCTTTTACTCTTATCGTATTAGGTTTATCATTAATGACTGTACTGATGATTCACACTTACTCGCTTATTTTTTTAATTGTCCGTGTCTTTGATTTTTAAGAATTGGCCAGCTTGATATAAACAATCTCCCCTTTATGATTTTTCTTACAATTTGAGGACATGTTCTTGTGGTGATGTTTGTACTGTGTTGTGCTTTACTCATTTTCAGAGCTTTTTCCGCTTGATGAGACTAACTGTGGAGTAAGCTCTTACTCCGATTGAAATGGGAAAAATCTCATTATTCTTCTTGTCCTTTGTCCTTGACATATCCTGTAAAACTGAGTTGTCTGTAGGAATTTACTGGTCAACATTGAGAATAAAAATGTTCCAGTAATAATCTCTGTCCGTGTGTGTGTAACGTGTAACTTCTTTTTGTGGAGTTGCTCTGTTATTGTCGGTCTTTAGAGACAATAATCCCTTATCTATTTCAGTCCGTCACCTCAAGTGAAAATGAGCTAAGATGACGGAATAGTCTTGACTTAAACAGTGATCCACCTATCCACTAATAGCTTGTTACTTTTTGATGTATGAAACTGTGCCTAACATTTAAATCCTCTTGGACTGACAAAAGTCAAGCTCACTTTTGGGTGAAAGTGAGATTTAGGAACTTAGCAGAAAGCATGTATTACATGACTAAGCTGAACTGTGGCCTGTTCAAGAGGCTATGTTTGCTATGGTATTTTGTAAACTTGCACAATTTGTAAACTTGGACGTTTGTGAATAAAACATCAAGAAATATATTGTTAATCAGTCTAGTCCGGTCAGCTTAGTTAATTTTGGTGATACTGTTTGAACTGACAGAATTTATGCTGGTGGTGTTGCAGAGGCGCTGCCTGTGAGGTCCTTTAGGAAGGAATGCTGTCAGCTCTGGGAACAGCACAATTCACAGACGGTGAGATACCACCAGATATGAGGGAAACAAAACATTACACGGTAATAATATTAAAGTGTCCTTGACGGTCTACTTAGAGGCGCTGCTTCCTCTGCGATCTGTCAGGGGTTGCCCTGTCACCAGCTTCAGCCTGAGTTCAGTTCTTTGTATGTGCTTGTGATACAGTCCTTAATTAGATGATTTTTCCCTTAGGCTTTGTGGGATGGACAGTATATAGTGGCAGTGTTAAGTGAGATAATTTTGGGATCACAGCCCTGTTTACTGAAGGTCTTTGAAGTAAATGTTCTTCAGGACTTTCTTTGCGGCTCTTGATGAACATAATAGGTAGCTTCCTGTTAGTGCTGTATTTTGTCTCCTCTGCCACGCTAAGATTTTAGATATAGAAATATATTAATGTGTTTAACCCAAACTCTATCGATAACGTAGTGCAAGCTTGCAAAGGGTGTGGTGTAATTATATTAGGGTCAAGTAACTCTGATTTGAATTAAATCCACCGTAAAGGACATAAGTGTTGAAGTCACTTAAATATAGATGTCTGCTACCACTGCAGGTGTCCTGCTGGCTTTTCGCAGAGCATGAGTACCTGTCCATCTGCCATCCCTAGGATGCCTCAGGTATGCTTATGTGTCTGAAATGGCACTTGTTGCCTGTCTTTGGGCACCTGCTTCTGCTTATCACATCCTGAAACACTGTGATTAAGACAGCAAATTTGGAGTAATATTAGCATGATAGGGCTAGGATCTGTCATGCTATTGATTGGAGCTGTATGGAAAACCAGGGTATTAGGCTTTGCGTATCACATTGGTGTCTACTTGCTCCCTGACCCTTTTCTCCCTATTCAGAGACTCTCTGTATCTTTAGTTCGCAGTTTGTGCATGTGTATTTGTGATACAGTTGTTAATTACGTGGTTACATATTTATCTGTCTGCATGATCCTTACCTCATTCACCATGGAGGACAGATGGTGCTTAGGGAGTTCTTATGGCTCTTCAGTCAAAGAGACTGTTGTTTGCAGGATCACAAATGTGTTTCCTGCAGATGTTGAAACAAATGAGGCAGGGGGTTGTAGCAAAAGAGAGGGTGATCTCATGTCTAAGCCAGTCGACTGGTTGAGTGATGATCTGGAGAACTGGAATTCTGCCTCTAAGATGCTAGAGAAGTAACTGGAACCAGGCTTCTTGTCCTAGGCCTAACCCATTTTCTTATTTCCACAGATAGAGCGGTATCCTCAGCTTGGTTTCACGTATCTTCTCAAAATGAGTGTGGTAACTTGTTGGGAGTTGACTGTGCACTTAGGGGAAATGGTGTATTTTCTGTTTCATGACTTCCAAATTTTCTCTTCATTATGGTGATTGGATAGCCCTCGCTGTTCCCTTTTCTTGATTGCCTTTGAAGTTTGCAACAGTTCCTCAAAAACTGATATGGCAGGGCTTGTTTACCAAGGTTCTCCAATGTCCTACTTTAAGTGGTACCCAAGGTAAAATAAACTCAAATATAACAAACCAGCTATACAATATGTCTATAAACACAATATTACTTCCCTCCCTTCTGCCTGTTTGTGGCACTGCTGAATTTGACTGCTAGAATTTTAATAAAAATAAATCTTTGCTATTAGTATTACAGTAGGAGAAATAATGGTGGATTTGTGTGTTAGAGATACTCCTTTAAGTCTTGAAAAGCTACTATGACAAGATGGCTTATTCTTGTTGCCCTGGCATTGAGCTGCCTTAAATGAAAACTGTGAACTGAATGTATGTTAAAGTCTTTCTTATTCAGACTTCCTTAGATAAAAACAAATAAATCCGGGATAATTTCTAACCTCAAGCTATTGTTAGGACTGATGGGATTAAAGAAGGGATATTGTAATGGTCTAGTGATCATAGTGAAACAAAGTTTTTATGGAAATACCCACACATAATTTCTCAAGAGCAAGGGTTTTGGGAGTGACATAGATCATCATTCTTTAAGGCTTATTCTGCCCTTTCAAAACTGAGGATTAGGAATAATTTCCTTGAGACCAAGGCCCACATGGTGCTTTTTTTTTCTTTTCACTCTGAAGCTTCTTCTGATGGTTCAGGTCTGACTGTAGTCCAGCTGAACGCGAGAACTGATCCTGTCCAGCAGTTTCCATGATTTGTTTTTTTTAGAGATGCAGAAAAGAATAACCTCTCTTAGTATATTTTACTTGGATGATTGGGAACAGTTCTGAAGTTTAAGGCCTCTGGTCGTCCTTGATTTCAGTAGAAATGTTCATAAAGTATTCAGAAAACAGTGGCCTGTGAAGAACTTGTTTAAATCCTGCCAGCTGGTTTCCAGTTTACCCATTAAAGCTTGTGACTCTCTAGACAACTGGGGTGGCCAAGGAGGTTATGCATAGCTTCGGTTGGAATTCCCTTCCCAGGTTTACAGAGGGCACTATTGCTGCTCGTTTATGGTTAAATGAGAGCTGCCAAATGAGCTCTCCTGTGCTGTTGCTGCGGATTAGATGCTGGAATTTGTTTTCTGTTATTTTCTTAGGTGCAGTTAGGTACTACTTTGGGAATTTGCTGTTTGTGGAAAAAGCTTTCAAAGTGAAGGTGGTGTGAAAAGCTGTGTTAAAATGGCTAAACAGACCCTTACTACAAAGAGTTGCAGTTGTCTGGTGCAAGTTGCTGACTGTTGTGGTTGTGCTCTCCAGCTGGCTTTTCAGTTCTAAAATTCATGTCTCTTGGTGTGAGTGCAGGACGTGTCCTTGTACCTCACCTTGTACAGAGAGGAGGATACAAAGAGGAACTTCATCTCTGCCCTGTCCTGAGCGTGTGAGCATCTTAATATGGAAGCAAAGCATGGGAACCAAGAATTTGTCACTACAATAAAAAGGCTATTAACTAAACACTCTCTTTTTTTTTTTTTTTTTTAAACTAGGATTGTAATGCATGGAAGCATATACATTTGAATGCATGTGATGGATAAATATAATTGCTCTATTCTTTTCTTTATCTGTAGAGCTGCTAGAAACACTTGGATGACTGGAATTCAAGATACTTGGTTCATGCTCTTATCCTGAGGTAGAGGAAATAAGCAGAAGAAATTTCTCTAGTTCAGGCAAGTAAGTATCAATACCTCCATAGCTTATCTGAAATTAAGTTCTTGGTAAACAAATGAATTGTGGGAACCTTCTGAAAATGGAGAAACTAATTTGCTTTGTTATAAATAGAGTTTAAAAGGAACATAAGAATTTTAATTAAATTTTTTTTTTGTTTATTTCATAGTTAAAGGATCTGTCGTACTGAACTCTGCTTTGAAAAACTGGGAAACCTCCTCTGTGTAGAATTGAAACAGACATTTGACAATTGTCTTGAATAAAAATTAAGGCAAAAATGTCCATCATAGATCCTTATCAACACATTGTGGTAAGTAGCTTTGAATCTTCTATGTATACTGTCTTGTATAATATTTGCTGACTCGTATAATGTATCCAATCAGAAGGTACTCTAAATAAGCATGCAGCATTAGAATTATCATTAATTCATAAAGAAATGAGAAGCATGGTTAGAGCAAATTTCTTCAGAAATTTATTTGCATGATATTTGAAAGATTATAGTTAGCTTTTCAAAAGGATGTCATGGCTTTGAGTGTAGTTGCTCATGTGTAAGTTGAAATGGAATACAGGCACCTAGCAGCCTCATGGGTACAATGTCGTAGGGTATAGTTCTGAAGGACTTGCCTGTTCAAAGTGTTTCATCAAAGTGCATGTAGTTAACTATTTCATACAAGTTTTTCTGCACTCTGGTTGTCAAACTGAACCATAGTCTACAAAAGTGACGTCATAGGTCTAACTTCCTCTGTTACACTACAGTTGTTTTTTTTTTGTTTGTTTTTTTTTTTGTATAATTCTAGTTAGTGAATTTCTTTCCCCTTTTCATCAGCATAGATACAGGGATAAGTTGGCAATTTTGGATACTTAGATCTTAAACTAGGGCATATCAGTGATGTTGATTCAGAGAGTATCTTCAAAATATAGCCTGCAAACTCTAGGTACCTAATCAGTGCCGCTAAACAACACACTGCTGCCAAAAGCTCCTGCTCCCTTTGTCCTGGTTTGTTCCAGTGCTCCTGCTGCATCCCTTGTACCAGCTATCGAATGCATGTGATTGGAGTGAGCCAACTGACCTCGCTGAATTGGCAGAAAAACAGTTTAATGCAAAAGATCAGTTCTCTGCTCTCAGAGCTGGCCCAAGGGAAGGGTAGAACCATGTGAGCACAACCTGTATAAGCAGAGAAATAGGGGCAAGGGAAGGAGGAGAAGGGAAATGGGAGCAGAACTAGAAGCCAGTGGAATGGCTTGTTGAACGCTGGCTTTCGGCCATAGTATTCACATGTATCTTTGCTTGAGTGACTTTCCGAAGTAAACACTGAAATTGCAATTCCTACTCAGACTGAAATCTTGAAGCAAGCTGTATGTGTTCATATGAAGTGCTTTTCGTAACAGTCCGAGAATGTAACAGCAGGAAAAGTGATATGTACTCAAGGATAGTTACCATATGCTGGTCATAATCTTGAACTTTTACGTTGCTAAAAATACAGCGTGTGCTTCCTTGAAATGGTCTCTTATCAGTTATGTGGTTTCTACCCCATGCAGTCACATCCTTCGCATGAGTTTGCAGCCAGCAGATGCCAAACTTGTGTTTTACTCAATCTGTACTTCTGCAAACGCTGCTGTGAAGACAAGTTTCAGGTTGATGTCTGTATTTAACAGTGTTAAAACAATACACTAACCTACTCCTTTCTGCATCAGTGCCCTCTCCTGGATGGAATGCTTGATCTGATCTGTACCTTTATGGGAGAGGTCTCTGAGGCACTCAGTTATTTCATTGAATCGTTCACATAACAGGTCTTTTTCAATACCAATACGTATGCCTTAATGAACAAAATGGAGCTTTAGAAGTATACAGTTGCAGTCCTTTGGCAATACTGAGCTGCTGCTGTGGGAATGTTGCTAGTGCAGGAAGGTACACTGTTAAAACAAGAGCTGATCCTATAATTGCTTGAAAAGTGAATGGAAATCATTGAGGTTTCTTAATTCGAAAATTAAAATTGCATGGAAAGTTTTGGTAAAACTTAGAACAGTCAAGGGCAGCAGGCTCATATCAATGCAAAAATCTTGAATTTTTAATGACATTTGGCATTGAAAGACTCAAAAGAATTCTGCATTTTCCAAAAGTCCGTCTGCTAACTATTATGCATTTTCCAATCGCTTTATCTTTCTTTTTTTTTTCTCATTATATGAAAGACTAGGAGGAATAAAATAAGGCATTCACAAAGCTACTGCAAGTACAGACAGAACTGATTGTACCAAAAATGCCTTTAGATTCAGAGAATAAAGACTTAAGATGCGTAACAAATCTTCAGTTACATTGATATGGAGAATAAATATTATAACAATGGGAAAAATCACTTCAAGATAAAATATGTATGTGTATGCACCAATGTTTGTCTTCATTTTAATACCCTGTGAAAGAAGAGCATGGACTTCATGAAAAATCTGTTACTTAAGAAAACAGGCAAACATTTTCATTCGTCCAGCGTAATCGTCAGCTCAAGTGTCCTTGATGTTAAGGAAGTAAAAGTAATAAATACTTATTACACAATCTGTCTATACCAGAGCTTCCTGATTGGTATTTTGTGTGCAAGTATATCTCCTGATTGAGTTACGTGTTGTGACTCAGCATTCTGGGATATGAAAAATGTTATATTCAATGCATGCAAATCCCTTGCTTTCTTAGTGAGTGTGCAAAGTTCGTAGGTAAAACCTGATTGTGTTACAGGAGATCTTAGCACGATGTTCTGTTTCCTAGTCCTGTAGCGGGAAGGTAATGGGGTTTATGTACATACAAATGCAGTGATATGTAAAATAGAGGAAATCAGATAATTAGGGAAATTTTACTGGGAGGAAAAAAAAGCAGTCAAAGGTGAGAGAGGAACAAAGGAGACAGGAGGAGGAGTTAGAAGAGATGGAGAGCTGTGGCGTGAGAACAGAAGATACTGAACCACGGCCGTGCGGGATACTTGGAAAACTTTGTGGATTAAACCAGTAGAGAGTGAATGCTGTTGCAGGAGTTGCCGTAATGCAGAAAACCCATGTTCAGAGAGGGCATATTAAAAACTTCTTTTTTTTTCCTTTTTTTTCGTTTCTTCTCTAAATTTGTGGAGAAAAAGGAGGTGAAATGAAACATATGTAAAGCTAGGTCACTTTGAATGGTAGGATTTAGGTTTTTAAGTTAGTTGTGAGCTTCTGAAATTTTTAACCTGGCTTAGATATTTAAAAGTATGTGGATATTGCTCCACTCAGTGTTGCAACATTTCAGTGATTTATATACCATCGTCTATTTTTCAGAAGTAATTGAGGAGTTGGCAATGTACAGATTTTTATCAAGACTTAAGGGGAACGTAAGTCACTTTAGAAAATGCAGCTTAGTCATCTAAACTAGCAAGGGCTGGATTTATAAAGGTATTCAAAGTCAGTACGTTTCTTGTCGTATTTTCAGGGGGCATCTACCTTCTTTAGAACTCAGTCTTTCTAAAAACTAACCAAAAAATACTTCTGAAAGTTATGCTAACTGTCAATATGGACATTCAGGCCTTTTAATACCCTTAGAAACTGGATCCTAAGTGGAAAATTGCCTTAATTTCCGATTGCACTTAAGTTGTATGAAAAATGTTTATTTTGGGGTAAGAAAAGATCTAGACTTTTGAGCTTCCTGTATAACTTTGTGTATTTTTATTTTTTTTTTACTAAGAGGGAGATCGTTTATTTTAGTGGTTGCAAATTTCTTCCAAGCATGTCATTATGGCCAAATATTAACTCTGTAATTATAAACCTCAGTGTGTTATTTTGGGTGAGGTGTGGGGAAAGAAGATAATGTTTTTCTGTTTTGCCACCTCTGTGTACTTGCATTCATTTCAGGGGATACCAGATCTTAAACCAGACTTAACTTTCTTGGCCAAACAACAGCTGGAATGATGGGGTTTGCTGCTTAAGTCAATAAAAAGCAGTTCTCACAATAGTATTAGCAAAATAGTTATTGATTTGTAATAGAAAGTACTGATGATCTCTGAACTGCTGTAATGAGAATACACTAGTAAGTGGTGGTTTGGACTTGTTTTGATGGTGAGTACTTTATTTAGGTATATGAGTTTCATGAGGAGGACTAGGAGATGCAATAAAATTACTTTACAGAAGTGCTTTTTGTCCGTAAGCATCTTGTAGTATCCTCATTTTATAGCCAGGACTCTGGGGCACCAGAATTGCAGACGAGTTCTACATAGCAGCTGAAAACTAAATCCAGCACACCCATGTCCCGTACTTTTAATTATAACTCTATCCTCCTCTTTGTTGCTAAATGTTCAGTGATCTCTGATTTGTGGTCTCTAGTGAGGACAGGCTCTTTCTTAACAGCGAAGAATAAGGAGGAGGGTGGTGTGTTTGTCCTTTAGGCTGTTTCTCGTAATTATAAGGTTGTATATGACAAAGGAACTGCATCAGTCTGTGTGAACAAACTCTTGAGGCCAGTGCTGCATTGTGAAACCGACGCTTCAACGATCTGACATGCGTGTGAAGGTGGCGCACACTGATAAAATAGCTTTGAGCACTTTCAAGAAGCAAACTGAAAACAAGGGACAGTGAGAGTATTTTTCTGGAGATTCACAACTTGTAAAGATTCTTGAAGAAGGGTAGATGGCAGAGCTGGGGTAACTTTACATAGCTGTGTTCACAAATACCCACCAAAATCCCTGTTTACCCTGCTGTGATGGAAAACTCTGGATTTTTTTTTTTTTTTTTTGGCTATGTGGGAGAGGCAGAAGTTTTTTCATGGAGAAGTCCCATCCTCCTTCCCATTCATGCATCCAGTCTCGGAAGCTGCGATGCAAAAGGTGATGGGTGTCTCAAAATCATTGATATGTGTTCATGTCTGCACAAGGCAGGCTGTTAAATAAGTGTTACTTCTTAACAACTTTGAATTCCCACATCTAAACCCTTACTGTTAGGTTTGGTACTTTTGAGGTGAGTTAATAGTCTCAGTTGGGAGAATTGGTTAGAGCCTGGTTTCCATTTTTACTGCGGTTGGTGAGCCACTTGCTGTGCAACGACGATTTCAGTATACCACTTATAAGGTAATAGTTTACTTTGCCACAGTTTTCCTCCTGCCTGCTTACTTGTTCTTTGAACCAGACAACTCCTACAGCTTACAGGGGAAAAATTACACAGTTGAAATTTACTGCTCGGCAGGCTATCATGAAATGAGCCTCCAGCAGTTGTCACAACATGTGGGTGATTACAACCTTAATAAAGATGCAACAATCCAGTGTCTGGGTCAGCCAGTGTCTGCAATGAAGTCATACCCTCAGTGTCACTGTGTCCATTTTCTCTGAGATATTTTGCCACGGTGATGTGTCTATGCCTTTGCAGACCTCTAGACTACAGACTTGTGGAGGAGTTTGTGTTGGTATCATTTGTGTTGTTTTTGATGCGTCCTGACTCAACTGTTAGTTAAGCATTCACAAACCACTTCTGCTGTCTTTAGAAGATTGGTTTTGGCTCTTATAATTTTCTCAAAAAAAGAAATGTAACCTATGAGAAACTGTCATATTTTTGTTTGAGGGATCCAGTTTGGTTCTAGTCTCTGAGTGTAAGCATGTTGCAGGTGTGAAATAATGAGGCTTGGCTGAAACAACCAGTTCTGAAATAGCCATGAGAACCACCTGAAGGCCCTTATGAAGTCTAGCAGTTGAAGCAGCAGTAGCTTAGATGGAGGCATGTGCCACTGTTGAAAAACTAAGCCACATATGGATTGAAGGATTTTGTTGGCTTATCTGTTTGTTCCTTTAAAAGGGGGTTTATTTAAAAAAAAAAAGGAAGTATCCAGATGAAAATGTAACAACAAAGTACCAGAGATGGCCTGAATAACCATGTAAGCATGTCCCATATCAAGGGTATTATCTATCGTTTTAAACAAACTTTAATGAATTTCCTGATTCTGGTACTTCCCCCTTTTCCTTCTGGTTGGAATATGTTGCAAGACCTTTAATATTTTGTTAGTTGTTTTGGTCCCAATGACTGATATGCAGTGTTTGTTTTAATGTATTTCACAAAGTTAATGGATGGTTAGGAGAGGAGAAAAAAGATCACTGTTTCAGTTTTAGAAATGGAAACCTATGTATGTATCACTGTGTATGGTAGATACTACCTGAGGTCCCATAGGAGATATGCTTTTGATCAAGTGGCTTGAGCTGTAAGAGTCAGGCGGCTTGGACCTGATGTCCTTTGGAGAGGCAGAGCTCAGGTGTGAGGTGGTCCTCTCCTGCCGTCCCAATTTCTGTCGCAGGAGAGCGAGCTGGTACCCTCCAGGTTGTACCAGCACGTGGGTCAATGTCTAGGCACTGTGAGCGGTCGGACAGCTTGAGTGTCTTAAGACTGGCTTTAAGATAGCAGTGTAGATATAAGCGCTGAGAGGCAATTGTGCGAGACCTGCTCCTGGCTCTAATAAATAGAACTTAAAACTTACCCACAAGCTCTGTACTGTGTCCCTGTAAAGGCCGATGTTGTCTGCCTTGCAATGTGCAGTAGTGCTTCTCATAATAGTATTCGGTAGGTTGGTCAAACTTACGGCTAGGTAGATAAATTAGCAATAGGTGTGAGTCACTAACCTCTTTTCATTAAGGTTTTTACTTTTGTTGCTTAGTTTTGTGTCTTTTTCTACTTCCCTAGTTTGTTCAGGGCAGACCTGCTGTTAGAAAGGCAGCTCCTGCTGTGTGCTTGGGCTTTGCAGGAAACGGGAAGCTCTAGAAACCCCTTGAAATTTTCTTGTGAATGTTTTAACAGCTTGCTTTTCACCTTCCCTGCATTGTCTTAAGAACACTTGCACTTTGAATATCGGTGTGTACTAAAAAGGTATATTCCACGCATTAGTAACTATATCCCTTGCGCATGCAGTATGTGTGTATGTGTTCCAGAACATATACTTCGAAATAATTGAACCCGTTCTTTTGACTGGGGGAAGGTAATTACAATGACAAGCACACTGTAAAATAGCCTCCTTTTTATTTTTTTTTCTCACTGTTGTCCCTGACTGACTAAATGCCTTAAAGCAGGTTCTGTAGAGAGGAGGAGTGTTATTCACTGAGCCTGGTAGGTGTGGCTGCAGGAAAATCAAGCAAGCCTAGTGTAAGGTCTGACCTTTCAGTAAAGCTACAGGGTGCAGTTCAGCTTTAAGATGCTCTATCCAGTATGGGTTTCACTTACATTTTGACTGGGTGACTTCTCTCTCTCAGTTTTTGGACAAAATGAAACCTATTTTCATAGGGTTTTTTTGGTTCTGGAGCTTAATCACCTCTAACTCTCTGACTTCCAGGTGGAGCACCAGTATTCACACATATTCACTGTGACAGTAAGGAAAGCCACAAATGTCACAAAAGGAGCGATTGGTGACATGCGTGAGTATTTCTCTTTCTATTTTGTCTCTTTCTTCTAGGAGACTGTTGCTGTAGGCAGGGGGAGATGACACATCAAGCTTGTCCTGCATTAAATGATTGTTAGTGGGTTGGTGGTTTTTTTTTGTGTCTTGCTTGTTAAAGCTAGGGCAATCTACCCATTACATTGCTCACTCATTCTAACTCGGAAAGCAGATTTGCCACTCCTTCTTTCCATTGATCCAAAAAAGCTGAATGAGTTGTAAACAATTTGCCTACAAGCAAGCAATACATACACTTAGTTTTTTGGCTCAGTCGGAAGTGCTGTTCTGAGTATAGTGAAACTGGCAATTGCTGTATCTTCAAAAGGCTGTGGTTTGGTGGTGGGAAAACTGAAAAAGAAAGAAGCCCAGAGCTCTGCTGAGTCAATGCAGTAAAGAAGGAAACAAAAAAAAAAAAGTCCAAAACAGATAAGCAGATCTAATGGTGGAAAACTAAGACACCAGCATGTCTTCCTCTTTCTGTTAGGCTTCTGAGCCTCTGGACATTAGCTGAACAGGAAACCACTAGGAAGAATGACCCATGAAAACTCTTGTCTGCCTTTAAGGGGGGAAGAGGGAGAGAATAATATGTTGTCTGAATTTGTAAAAAGAATATTCCTGCTTCCTTGATTATGACTGTTTTGCTGTCAGTTAGTCTCTCCCTTTCCTTGGTGCTTCATGCAGAACATTGGATAGCCCAGGATTTGCAGGCTGGGGATGAGAAGATGAGTGTGGTACCTCGCTCCTGCTCTCTCATCAGACTTGTTTGATGTCCAATTGTTTCTCTCCCAGCACGTTCCTGGAAACTGATTTCAGGTCAAACTACAGCAGCTGCTCTGACCCACAGCTTTGCTTCAGTGGGTTAACAGTTCTGTTGTGTTTTTGTTTTGTTTTGTTTTTTTTCATAATTAGTGTGTACTGTTGATAGCGGGGGGGTAAGCAAGAGGGACAGTTGGAAGGGGAATGTTCAAGAGCCCCAAGTATGAGGGGGGCCCTGGCAGAAGGGGAGAAGAAGGAATTGGGAATCTATGTAACATCTACTGTAGGATGAAGGAAAGGAGCACACAGAGAAAATGCAGTGGGATATTATCCTGGTGGCCTCTGAGAAGGTCTTTGTATAAGAAGACCTTGGGAAAAGTGCTGTAAAGAGGAGAATAAAGGGCCCACAGCTTTGCATGTGTAAGAAGATGGGTTAAACGGAGAGACATAGGTTCTCAGACGCAGCCGTCTCTGTCATGAGACAGTGTGGGGAACATGGGAAGGGAAGAAAGGGGGCTGAAATGGGCACTCCATGATATGATACTAAAGGGAATATGGAAAGGGTGAAGAAAACCAGAAGACCATAGCATTATTTTATTATTTCCACCCTATTCCCCACACCCCCCAGGACAAGCATGGTCCTGTAGTATAAATTCCAAATATTATCTATCAATATAATTGGATTTTTTTCAAGACAAAACTCTTATCTTACCAAATCATCGAAACCAAAAAGCTACTCAGGAAGAACTTCTTATTTTGATAAAACCTGACAGAACTGTGCTCAAGTGCCACTGAAACCTGCTTGGTTTCCTGTCTGAGACAGCTACAAGCTCCCCATAGCCTGAGGCACCTGCAATCTGGGGCATCTCTGAGTGAGCTTCCAAGTTCCCAGGGCTTGTTCTTGGAGCCCTGGCAAATCCCCTGAAGTGAAAAGAAACAGATAATTGCTTCTGGTTTTATTTTGGGAAAATGAAAAGTGATTTCATTTCCCATGTATATACAAAGCTTGGTGTGTTGGAGCGTGAAAGCTATCAAATCAGGAGTCATGTTAATTACTTAAAGATGTGTGAAACTCTGAGTGGTGGAGGGTCTTTACAGTTGATTGTGCCAGCGAACATATATATTTTTTTTTTTCCTCATTTGATTTGCCAAAACTGTAACTAGTTGAAGGAATTTCTGAACTTTTACATTGAGATCAGAAACCCAAGGATAAGATTCACTACCAGAGAGCGTGGCTGCGATACATAATATGAGATGCCTTGGTTGGGGTGAGTACCTGAGTGTTGCTCTCCCATGACGGATGCTGCCAAGCTGTTGACTCTTCTGTTGTTGTTGCTCCACTTTGTGTAGACCGTGACTGTTTTGTGGGCAAGAGAGGTAATTTTACATTGTGGTGGTGATGGAGGTCCTGGGGAACAAGAGATTTTGTATAATGTTTTGCTTTTCTTTTGTCCATATCAGTCTTTCCAAGACTTTCTGGAATAGCTGTGAGAGATCTGAGTAAATCCAAGTTTATTAAATATGTGGAAATGCCTATAATTTTGCTGTTTGTGTGATATTTTTCATCTTAAGGATCTGAGGTCTACCTGTGCTCAAGGAGTTTTAGATGAGAGGTCTAGTGTGCATGCTGCCCAAAGTCTGTGGGTTGGCATGGAGGGCCTGACTACTCTGGCATACTTACCCACACCTCTGTCTCCTCTAGCCTAGGTGGGGGAGATGTGCAGTATTTTAAGCATATTTGTCCAGATTTCTTGAGCTCCTCATTAATGGACAGCATAAGTGGTTGTGTCATCCTTAAAACGAGGTAGTAGATGCCCACTACACTGTAACTTCCACAGGCAATGTGTTTCCTTGATTGAACAGTTCACACACACAGCATTGCTGATTCAAGACATATTTGTAGTATCCTGGCTGATCTGGGTGGCTGGATCAACAGGGAAAGCTGGAGCTAGGATAGCTTCCAGCCCTCTATTTTTATTTTATTTGGCTGAGATTTCCCATTGTCTCTGTAAGCTTTAAAATTTTTGTAGAGTGATCTGAGAAAGACAAGCAGTCAAATCTGAATCTAGGTCATACCAGGATCTGAGTAGCTAAGCTACAGTAGCTGCTTTTGTTTCTCACTGATAAAGCATGTCAAAATAAGTGAAAATGGCAATAATTGCATCAAAGAAAATTTCCATGCAAATGCTTTTCATATATGAAGGAAATTAGTCTACTTATAGTGATTTGTCATTCTGTGAATGTGTGTGTGTGGATGATACATGAGAATTCCTGTAAGAATGCATGACCCAGGATGTTTGGGAGGGGGAAAAATGTTTTGAGAGCAGATTCCCTCTTTCCCAGGAGTTCATTGAAGTCCCTTCTTATTTCACATATCTGCCTGTTTACTGTTGCCTTCATATAGGAGTGCTTCCTTTACTGCTTTCACTTGTTTTAATTTTATGATGGCCCTTTTGAGATGACACTCACACTCCAGATACTGTCCTATCAACATCCAATCGATGCAGCTCTATCTGTACAAAAGATTTAAATTCTGTTTTAGTGACTGCTGCTCAACCCTTCTGGCTAAGTCTTTTTACAGGCTGGAAGATCTATGAGATGAGCAACTGCAGCAGGTGTGTGGTGGGTTGACCTTGGCTGGCTGCCATGTGCCCACCAAACCACTCCTTCACTCCCCTCCATCAACAGAATGGGGGGAGAAAATATGTTGCAAAGCTCTCATGGTTCAAGATAAGGACAAGGAGATCGCTTACCTATTACCGGCACAGGCAAAATAGACTCAATTTGCGGAAATTACTTTAATTTATTTCTGATTAATTGTAACAGAGTAGGGTAGTTAGAAATAAAACTAAAACCACTTTCCCCCCCTATATCTCCCTTCTTCCCAGGCTCAGCTTCACTCCTGACTCTTCTACATCCCACCAAGTGATGCAGGGGGATGGGGAGTGGAGGTTGCAGTGAATTCATAACATGTTGTCTCTGCTACTCCTTCTTCCTCACACTTTTCCCCTGCTCCAGTGTGTGATCTCTCCCACAGCATCAAGTCCTTCACAACGTGGGTCCTTCCCATGGGCTGCAGTCCTTCATGAACTGCTCCAGCATGGCCCCTTTCCATGGGGTACAGTACTTCAGGAACAGACCGCTCCAGCCTGAGTCCCCCACAGGCCACAGTTCCTGCCAGAAAATCTGCTCCTGCCGGGGCCCCTCTCCACAGGCTGCAGCTCCTGACAGGAGTCCACTCCTACATGGACTCTACGTGGGCTGTGACTTCTTCAGGGCACGTCCTATCTGCTCCAACGTGGTGATCCTCCACAGACTTCCGTGTGGATCTCTACTCCACCATGGACCTCCATGGGCTGCAGGGGGACAACTTGTGTCCCTGTTGGGGAATCTCTGTTCTAGCACCTTGAGCACCTCCTCCCCTCCTTCCTCACTGACTTGATATCTGCAGAGTTGCTTCTCTCACACTTTCTCCTTCCTCTCTTACAGCTACTGTGCCGTGTTTTTTATGCTTTCTTAATTATGTTATCGCAGAGGTGCCAGCAGTGCTGCTGATGGGCTCAGCCTTGGCTAGCAGCTGGTCCATCTTGGAGCCAGCTAAAACTAGTTCTGTGACACGGGGACAGATTCTGCGATCTTCTCACAGAAGCCACCCCTGCAGCCTCCCTGCTGCCCAAAACCTGCCACATAAACCCAATACAAGATGGAATATCTCAAAATCTGCATGTTTTTGGTGAGGATATAATTATCCTAATCACTTGGCTTTCTGCTAGTCGCTGGGGTCAGTAGTCCTTGTAAAATCACTGCTCTGACTTTTGGAAAAGACCTTGCCTCCAGACCGGTGAGGTCTTATATAGTGGATGTTCAGTTTTGAATCTACTCCAGATACCACACCTGTAGAGCCTTTCTTTACTTCCATAACAGTACAAGAACTTGTAGAAAAAGACCAGAATCCCAAACCGCAGCATTCTGGAAAAGAAATGCTTGCAATCTGTGGTTCTGTCCCCTTCTGGATTTTCAGGGGGCTTGGTAGAAAACTAGGCCAAAGGAAGCATTTTAAAATTTGTCTTAGATCTTTAAAGGTCTATTTTTCTTTAAGTATACTGGCTTTCAAAACAATTGGTAGCATCTGCAAAGGAAACGAGTTGTATGACTAATCTTATTGATCACTAACCTTCCTTAATCCTGTTTTGGATTTGCAGCTTTTATTTGCTTCACTTACTT